TTGCTAGCTATGTCATTTGCCCTGCAGAAGCTCTGCAACTTTATGCAATCCCATTTGTCCAACCTTTCTTTGATTTGTTGTGTTTCCGGGTCTCTATTCAGAAAATTTCGGCCTGAGCCAAGGAGACCTAGGGTTTCTCCTATTCCATCCTGTAATGTTTTCAGAGTGTCTGCTTTGACTTCATATGATCTATATTTGTATAGAACTTTATAGTTTGAGAAAAGCATTTCATGCCTTACACATACTATATAGTTTTCTCCTTAATGCAGCCTTATGAAATAGACAGTTTTTCTCACTTCTACAAACTTGGTGGCTAAATGACTTCCTTTATGTGCCAGAGCTGGTTTACAAACCCAAGTGTCCAACTCTCACTTCCACTCCTTTTCTAGAAAAAGGAAAGGATTATCTAAACTAAATTCTGTGAGAATCTAGTCCCATGTTTATTTTCTCACTTTATACCCAAAATTTAACACAGCACTTGGCACCTAGTAATTGCTAAGTAAGTATTAATGGATGGCCACTGCTCTTCATTGCCTGTAGGATAAAGGCCAGAATTCTCCTTAGTTTTCCATTCTGAACCAGTTCTTTTCCCTGGCCAATATTTCATTATTCCTCTACAGAAGCCATTTACTTGAGGCACACATTTTTCTCCTTTTCCTGTAAATGCACCCTATATTTCAGATACCTAATTAGCTTGTGTAAGAAATATATTTTCTCCAAGATCTGTTTGTTTATTGATAAAGCCTACCACTACCATTCCAAATATAAATCTGTCCTTTCTTTGAATTACTAGCAGAGTTAAGAAGACCCTTTACCACTAGATGGCACTTATGCTGTGTAGTCTCAGTTTCTCCAAAGTGTTAAGGAAGCTGAAGACAATGGCTTGGATTGAAGTCAATACACAGTCGACTGTGTGTATACTATTATAATAATTCACTTTTACAAATATTATATCACTACATTTTGGAAACAACAGTTTATATCTCCATCAGTCTTTAAGATACACGTACTTTCTATTGGCCAAAGCCTTGTATTACAAAGTCTATTGCTATTTTTAGGCCCAGTCACTCAAGTATGTTTTCCAATTCCAGTTCACCACTACTTTATAACTAAACAAAAATTTCCGTACAGAAAGGATAGGTCTTTATTTAGGACATCACTTGCTAAAAGGAAAGAAATAGCCTTCAGCTAAGCAAATAATACTTCAGAAAATTAACTGAAATATGTAAAGTCTATTATCAGTTTTATAGGTGTTTATATTCATGTTTTCATCTTTATAATTAAAAATTGACATACAATGTGTTCCATATCCCCTTGTATCTCTTTGTTGCCTAACATAGTAATTTAATTGTTCATAATATTTAAGTTCATTTTTACATTAATAAAGATCTTTGAAAGAGATTTTATACTAATACTTAAACAAGATTCTCCTTTTCTTGTTTCTAATATAGCACCACTGAATGTACACCTAAGATGGGTGAACTTGCTAGTGAACACCCAAATTCCAAGATAGTCAACATCTGTTGTCAATCTCAATAGTTTATGTATTGCTACAATTGACAATGTACAATTGTACATTTAGAAGAGGACTCATATAAAAACATTTAAAGTAAAAGAAAACTTGATGACTTGAAATACATATAACAAACTTGTTTATTCATGTGTTCCTTCTTTCCAAAAGATCATTTTAAATTAAGGAACTGAAACTCAGAAGATAGGATCCATAATTTCTTTTTTTTTTTTTTACAATTTCTTTTCATGTTTACCTAAACTTAATTGTATCTTGTCTGCATATTATAAAGACAAAGAAAATTAAAAATGAATTCATCTTTATAAATGGATTTTCTTTTGACATTGGGAAGAAAATGTGGCTTTTATTTATGAGAAAAAAAGCATATTTGTAACAAAGTTATATAATGTTTGACAGATTGCCCTGCTAGCCAGGACAGACATGGACTTTCCATTTCCAGCTTCCCTACTCACTGACCAGATCTTCATTAAAAACAAAATTTACCCGTGGAAATATTCCTGGCTTTTTCACTAACTACTAATGAAATGACTAAACTGATCATTTAATCATGTACCTCATAGGCTTTCACTTTTGAGAGTGATAGCTAGTCTTTAAGGACCTGATAACATCAAGGTATCTGTCCTGATACAGATCATTCAGTTTCCCATTAAATATCAATGAAGACTTAAGAAAACACAAAGAAAGGTAAGATGACTGTGAACAGTGAGTCAACCATTTGAAACTGACTTGGGTTACATATCCCATGCTATCTAAATAGTCTATGACCCTCTAGGGAGTAGATAAGAAATATCCACCTTTTCCTCTTGGGGAGATGACATCACTAGGCTAGGGAGAAGGGGAGGAAAGATGGACCCATAGACTGTGGGTGTACAGCAAAGGAAGTCAGGGTCCATGTTCCTTCCAGGATGGAGTAAATAGTTAATGCCATCCCAGCAGAGCAAGAACAGCTGTGAACAAAAACAGTTGTGAAATGGAATGAGTCAGCAACTGTGGTCAAGCAAGAAGAAGTGAACTCTGACAGGACATCAGCCTAGTAATAATTACAAAACAATAAAGGCATTCTCATCAAAATCAAGAACAAAATAACAATGTCTATTATGTCAATATAATTTAACACTTTTGGAAATCCTGGCAAAAATAATAGATGAAATTATTGAAAATGAATAGACAAATTGAATCCTATTTGAGGATAATTGGATTGCAGACTGTAAAGCCTAAGGGAATTTTCTGAAACACTGTTTGACTTAATAAATAACTTAGTAAAAAAAGGCTGTATTTAAGATAAATATATAAAAGTGGTAATATTTCAAAACCAATAACTAGCAAATACAATGGGAAAAATCTTTGTGATATAAACAAAGCATTCAATACCTTAGACTACTTTACATTAGCTGCATGCTTTCGCCTAGCATGGATCCATGATCTTCAGTGCTGAAAAAAACTTCCTTTTAAAAAAATAAAGAAAGGTCAACACATTGTATAAAGAAAATATTATTATATAAATAAATATTAACTTGCAAGTGATCTACTAGTGATTCATGCCTGTAATTCTAGGTACCTACAAGGCTGAGATTGGGAGGAATAAGGTTCAAGGCCGGCCTAGGCAGACGTGCACGATGCTTACTCAACCAATAGTAGGATACAGTGGCGTGTACCAGTCATTCCAGCCATATGGGAAGGCGAGATTAAAAGGATTGTGGCTGTAGGCTGCACCAGACATAAAAGTTAATGGGTCTCTAACTCAATGAAAAATAAAGCAGCTAGGTGTTGTGGTGCATGCCTGTCATCCTGTTTATGATCGGAAGGTCTAAAATAGGCTGATTACACCCCAGGCATGCACCTGGGCAAAGGTGAGAGGTTATCTCAGAAATAACCAGTACAAGCTGGGCACTAGTGGTTCACGCCTGTAATCCTAGCTACTCAGGAGGCTGAGATCTGAGGTTCATGGTTCAAAGCCAGCCCGAGTAGGACAGAGACTCCTGTCTTCAATTAACCATCAAAAAGCCAGAAGTGGAGCTATGGCCCAACTAGTAATCACTAGCCTTGAGCAAAGAAACCTCATGGACAGAGTCCAGGTCCTTATTCAAGCTTCAGAACTGACACACACACACACACACACACACACACACACACACACACTAGGTCCTTATTCAAGCTTCAGAACTGATACACACACACACACACACACACACCAGGTCCTTATTCAAGCTTCAGAACTGATACACACACACACAC